TGGTAGCATAATCTTTGTTAAAGATGAAAAGGCCTCTACTAGGCAACGCTGAAGTATACAGCATTAGCCAAACACTTAGCAGGCAGATCTCAAAGGATATTCAAATGTTAGATAAGCATACGTACCAAATTTGTTGACCCATTTATAATAGATGAGATAAGAAACTTCACAGCCCTTCTCCATCCATTCCCACTTTAGGGTGGGGAAGGGGTATCTAATAAGAACAACCAAGTGCCATTGTGCAAGAATACTTTAAGAGGATTAGTAATTGGCATATAGATAATTTATCATTGAACTTGAATGCATAAATGTCTTAAAGGTCAGTTATTGAGAAACTGTACACCAAAAATACTGTCCTTATAAATATGCTATCACTAAAAACATATAATATACTAAGTCAATAATGATAATGATGAAGCTAAACTAATAGTACAGTTAACCCTTGAACAATGAGGGTCTGAACTGCACAGGTCCACTTATAGGCAGATTTTTTTCAATAGTAAATACTACAGTGCTACATACAGATCAGTGGCTGGTTGAATTGAGGATACCAAGGAACCACGGCTCTGCATCGAGGGTCAGAGACTCTATCCTACCCCACTCCCACTAATCATTCAAGGGTCAACTATATTTAAACAAGAGAATAAAAATAGCAACATTTAAAATCTGTGACCCGCTGAAAAAATACTTGACGTTACCAAAAATTAGGCAATTCCATTAATTTACATGCCTATATACACAAGCTGTATGATGTTGTCAAATGCTATATATAGTAGCTATACTTCTTAGAATACGATTTAAAGCTCTCAGTAAACTCTAATAACATACCAATTTTACTTGACGAGCACTAAATCACAGTAATCATGAAAAATTCACCTAGTAAGTAAGTAAAAATCAAAGTTTCAGGAAGTCGGGTCATCTCTAGGCCCATCAAGAAGATACTCATTTACTACATTCTGAGAATTACTGAACTAAATCACCTTTGCAGTTCCTTCCATTTCAGAAAGCATCTGATTCAAAGTACCCAATTTAAATTATAATCTTAAGCAAGAGTTCTTCAGTTAAGAGTCCCTTATAATACTATAAAGATTTATACATATTTTTAAAATTTTTATTCTCTTCTAAAACGTCAGTTATATAATCAACTTTTAATACAACAAAAGATTTTGACCTCTAATAGACCTCATAAAGTAGTTTCCTCTGGTAACAGAAATATTTATAAGATATTCAAAAGATATGACTTTCCTTAAGGTAAGGAACATATTCAATTTTTTTTTTAATCTAAAGGTATATTTCACTTATTTAGTTTACCTCAATCTATCAATAAAAATTTGACCCCTACACTTAAAGGATTTCTTAGTGGTTAATTTCCAAAGTGATATGAGTTCTGGACTTTTACATAGTTTTTAAAGACATATATTAAATGTACACTTGTGTTCTGAAATATATAAGTACAGTATAAAAATGCAATTCATAGTTTTCAGTGTTTACTACCTAAGACAAACAATACTACCACAAAAATAGAACTAAACACAACTGGAATAATAAATGAGCAAATTAATTTTTTAAAAAATAGAAAGCATAATCTCATATAAAAGAAGAAAACTGAATAAATGGATACTAAAGTCAATTGAGTCCAAGCTTCCACTACCTCACACCAAGACTACCATAGTAGTTTCTTAATTAATATCTTTCTCTCTCACTCCTCTAAATCATCTTATATCCTGCTTCCAGATTCATCTTGTCCACTTTTATAAAAATATTCAATGACATACAACTGTCTACAGAATCAACTTCAAAATCCCTGGTCTGGCACTCAAAGCCTTCCCTAAGTTTGGTCTCTATCTGCCATGTTGATCATTATTCTTGTAAACAACATTCCCTTCCGATCTACCTTCATCAATTTTTCTACTCATTTTCCCCTGAATAAACCCTGAACAATTAATTCCCTGTTTAGCCTTGCCTCTTTCCATCCTCCCTTCTTAGAATGCTCTCCTTGCTCATTCCCAATCTTATGATCCCTATTTTTTACCCATGCTATTCAGAGTTTGTGTTCTCTTAAGAAAGCTTCTCTAACTACCCCAGTGTATAACAACTGCCCAATTGTCACAACTTGTATAACTATGCCTTGCTTATGTTCCCCATTTAACACTTAGTAAATGCTATTATTGCCTTATCTATCCATCCCTCTATCTAGTCTTCTCAAAAATAAACATAATTCAGACAGACCACATTGTATATCTCTTAGCATCCCCTTCACTGGGCACAGTACTTTGCACAAAGACTGCATTCAAAAAAAGCTTACTAATAATATTCTAAAATCTAGTGCATGCAATCAGATTTTTTATAACACTGCTACCTCATACTGACATACTACTTTATATTTTCAAAGAACTTTCTGGTTTCACTAGATCATATTGTCCCTCTCAAGTCGGAAGGATGAGTATTCTTGCTTATATATTTTTTATTGAAGTAGAATATCTGCCTCGATATTTTAGGTAGCAAAAATGATATTCAGAGAAAGTGTAAAGCCAAAATTACCCAATAGTGTCGGGCTTTTTTAAATGTGTTTTATTGCTTCTCCTGCCTCTTAACTTTATCTTTTTGGAGAGAAGGCTGAATATTAATAATTATATTAACAATAGTGGCTTTTATTTATTGGATATTTATAATGTGCACAGATGGTAACAGGCATTTTATAGACATATTATCTCAAATAAAACTCAACAACTCTGGGAGGTAGATATTACTATTATCTTTATTTAATAGATGGGGAAAACTGGAAACCCTCGGAATTTAATTAATTATGCAGGTCATACGACTAAGTGACGGAGCTCAGATTTTAACACACAGCCAAATGTCTACGGAGCCCATGTTCTTATCCACCTCTCCTAGATCTAAACAGTAACTAGCTTAGGCCATGCAGTTCAAAGGTGATATTTTATAAATAGATAACTCAAAGGTGGACCTCAAGATTAGTTTCAAATACAGAATATTTCAGTAGTTCAATTTTTGGTATTATTGTCTCTAAAATGAGCTACAATATTTCACGGAAGAAGCTTAATGAACAACAAGAAGAAAACTGCTCTCGCTGCTTTTTTTTTTTTTTAACATCTTTATTGGAGTATAATTGCTTTACAATGGTGTATTAGTTTCTGCTTTATAACAAAGTGAATCAGTTATACATATACATATATCCCCATATCCCCTCCCTCTTATGTCTCCCTCCCACCCTCCCTATCTCACCCCTCTAGGTGGTCACAAAGCACCGAGCTGATCTCCCTGTGCTATGGTCTCGCTGCTTTTTAAATAACTTGTTCTAACCTCTCAATATCAACAGAATTTAGAATAAAAAATGATTAAAACTTTATCAATACAGATATTCTGATACAGAATTTAATACTATCCACTTAGATATTTACTCTAAAAGGTAACAATAAATTTTAAGCAATTCTATTCAGAAAGACAGATACATAGTCAACATGTTAGTAGCAAAGGAAAGTATTCAGAGACAGACAGACAGACCTCAGTTCCATCACTTACACTGTGAGCTTTTAGAGAAGATAATTAACCTCCCTGAGCCTATTTCCCTATCTTTAAAAGTGAGGATAAACAAACATCTACCTTTAATGGCTGTTGTGAGGACAGTCTGAAAAAGTATACACTTAGAAAACAGCAGTTGTTATTACTGGTATTTTTACTACCACCAAAAGATTTTAAATATTTTAGCTAAAAAAAACTTAAGAAAGTCCATTAGCATTAAATAAGAAAATATTTATGGTAAAGTAAATATCATGTTCCAAGACAAGGCTTAATCTGAACTTTTTTTTCTGAAGATATAGTGAAAACAAAATAACCTACCATCTCTTTTCCATTTAAAATCGCCGTTACAATAACCTTCTTCATAAACCAATCTACGTCCATGTCCATTTTATTCTCTATTAACAAGTTATCATTTTAAAGTTTAACTTTTCTTTGACCATTAAAGAAACAAGTTTGAACCAGAAATTCAAAAAAGGTTGGGACCAAGTTAACGCAAGTAAACAAAACTGCATTTTGCTATCAATCATTAGACTAATCCTACATTTGAGCCTGAACAAAGGACATTCACTAAATTAAAATTCACAAACAGCTCAACTTAGTAGTGACTCTCAACTTCATAGTAGTATGAAAGACAGAAAAGTTGGCCTCTGCATTATTCCAATAATGTAAATTTGTCACATAATCTACCATCTAACAAATCACAGAGCTATCACCTGGCTACATTTTACCCACTGGCACCTTTACTTTAGGTAATACAAACATCCCTAATAATCTATAAATCAATATTTAATGGAATCTTTAAAAAAGGAGAATTGAAAATGAAATGACCCTAGAGCAAAATATTTTCGTACAGTGACAAATCATCATTTAATCCACATCCTACTGGTGAATTTTTATTTTTTTTTAAACTTATTGGATAAGGTACACTACCAGTACCCCTACCCATTTGTTTTAATTTCAGAATACAATTCAATCACAACACAAGGCAGCAATATTTATTAAATCTTTATACTTTTATATAAAGAATATATGTAGCAACTGCTCTTAATTCTGAATTATTTTAACTGTTTCATTCTATCTACAGCTGCACATGATGTGAGATTTACAGGCATTTAATTTCCTTAACTGTTAACAACCTCTTGATTTCAGTAAGGTATAAAGTTTCTTGAGGAAAACAAACACAAACTATTACATCAGTATGTCTTATACTATATGGCTGAGAAAGCAAGGGAAAAGAGGTAGGAGATAAGGCAGAAATAGCAGAAAACTGGGTTATGCCTTAACAAGCTTTAAACTATCTGTAATTTTCATATCAACAGAGGAATTAAAGTATTATTTTAAAATACTTTTTTTTAAGTTTGCTTTAAATACATTTTTAAAATAAAATGATGGCTTACATCAAACACTTTCCAGCTGTAGATGATAGTACCTTATTATGCTGTATTTGAACCACTCACCAAAGTTCGGTCAGGTTCTCCATCTGCCAAACCAGCCTCCATAGTGAAAGAAGATAGGTTTACACTTCTCTTTCCATTAATATTTAGTCATCCTGTAAATCCTAGAAGAAGAAAATCATATGTATTAGTTCTGGTATAAAACTGTGATAAGTGGGAAATAAAGCATTAAGTATATAAGGAGAGAGAAATCATTTTAGGCTGAGGTTATTGGGAAATCCAACAATGGAAAAAAAAAAAAACAGATTTTGCCATGCACCTTGAAGAATGGTAAAAGTTCAGCAAAAATGAAAGAAAATATTCCAAGTGAAGAGGACTAGCAAGAGCAAGGTTAAAGATATGAGACTGTTCAAAATGTGAAAAGATGATTGAATCTACTTATAACTAAGGAAATAAAATTAGATTTTTTTCATTATTACATAGGCAAAAGCTAAAAAGTGTGCTACCATCCAATGTTTGTGAGAACATAGGAAAATAGATGTTCTCATGCACTTCTGTGATAAGCATATAAACCAGAACAATTGGGGAGAGGACAATTTAAAATATACATGCTTTAATCCAGCAATTGCAAGGCTAGGAATTATTCCACAAATATATTACGCAAACGCACAAAGACATAAATAAACATATCCAACGAAGTAATAGGTGAGGAAAACTGGAACCAGCCTTAATGTCAATCATTAGGAGCTTGCTTAAATTATACTACATACATACAATTGAAGAGCACGCTGCAATTTTTAAAAATGACTTAATATCTGTATATACTAAACTAGAAAGAAGACCACAACACATTAGGTGGAAAAAACAAAATGACAGAATATATAAAATACTCTTTTTGTTTCTGAATTTTTCATTTTTACAATGAACATGTATTACTTTTATACTTCTTTTTATTTTGAAAGTCTTAGAAGTAGGTCTTCATCACTTTTCTTTTGAGCTTTTTAACTAACAAAGCCTCCAAGATGAACTCCTATAGTAATTATATATATTCAGAAGTCTCTAATAATCTCTCTAATAATTCTTCCTTAAGAGCTAACAAAATTAAAACCAAGAAATAGGTAGACTTCTAGTCATTTCCTGGAGTTCCAAATCATTTTCTTGTCTTTGCAAGTGTAAAAGGCTGCAATGAAATGTAAATACAGGATGACCCATCCTGCGGATACGAGTCAGCCTCTTTCCCCAACCAACCCTGTCATTGTCCAATGGGCTCATGAACAAAGTAGCCACCATGGTAGGGATGCAGGTTATGCATGGGTTCAGCAACATGGACCTCCACTCACCAAGACCAACCTGGCTACTGCCACTGCTGAGTGCCAAATCTACCAGCAGCAGAGACCAACACTGAGTCCCCAGTATGATACTATTACCTGAGGTGATCAGCCAGCTACCTGGTGACAGGTTGATTACACTGGACTGCTTCTATCATGGAAGAGGTAGTACTTTATTCTTACTGAAATAGATACTTAGTCTGTATGCAGAGTTGCCTTCGCTGCACAAAATGCTTCTGCCAAAACTACTATCCGTGGACTTACAGAATGCCTTCTCTATCCCTCCTATTGTTCTACAAAGCACTGCTGCTGATCAAGGAACTCATTTCACAGCAAAAACAAAAAACAAAAAACTGTGGCAATGGGCTAGTGAATTCGCTAGCCTTACCATATCATCCTGAAACAGCTGGCTTGATAGAACAGTGGAATGGCCTTTTGAGGACTCAGTGAGAGGACCAGCCAGATGGCAATACCTTGGGCGAGGATCTCCAAAAGGCTGTATATGCTCTGAATGTCCGATATATGGTGCTGTTTCTTGCATAGCCAAGATTCACAGGTTAGGACTCAGAGGAAGGAAATGCAAGTGGCACCACTGACTTTACTGACCCCACAAGCAAAAATTTTTGTTTATTTATTTTTATTGAAGTATAGCTGATTTACAATGTTGTGTTAGTTTCTGTTGTACAGCAAAGTGATTCAGTTATACATATACATATACATATTCTTTTCCCTTATGTTTTATTACAGGATATTGAATATAGTTCCCTGTGCTATACAGTAGGACCTTGTTGTTTATCTATGTTATATATAGCAGTTTGTATCTGCTAACTCCAAACTCCTAATTTATCCCTCTCCCACCCCCTTTTCCCTTTGGTAACTGTAAGTTTGTTTTCTATATCTGTGAGTCTGTTTCTGTTTCATAAATAAGTTCATCTGTGTCATATTTTAGATTCCACATATAGGTGGTATCATAAGGTATTTGTCTTTCTTTTTCTGACTTACTTCACTTAATATGATAATTTCTAGGTCCATCCATGTTGCTGCAAATGGCATTATTTCATTTTTTTTTTATGGCCAAGTAGTGTTCCATTGTGTATATATACCACATCTTCTTTACCCATTCATCTGTCAATGGACATTTAGATTGCTTCCATGTCTTGGCTATTGTAAATTGTAATTAGAGTTTTCTCTGGATATGTGCCCAGGAATGGGATTGCTGGATCATATAGCATCTATTTTTAGTTTTTTAAGGAACCTCCATACTGTTTTCTATAGTGGCTGCACCACTTTACATTCCCATCAACTGTGCAGGAGGGTTCCCTTTTCTCCACACACTCTCCAGCATTTGTTATTTGTAGACTTTTAAATAATGGCCATTCTGACCAGTGTGAAGTGGTACCTCATTGTATTTTTGATTTGCATTTCTCATACTTAGCGATGTTGAGCATCTTCTCATGTGCCTATTGGCCATCTGTATGCCCTCTTTGGAGAAATGTCTATTTAGGTCTTCTGTCCATTTTTTGATTTGGTTGGTTTTTTGTTATTGAGTTGTCATGAGCTGTTTGTATATTTTGGAAAGTAAGCCCTTGTTGGTCACATTGTTCACAAATATTTTCTCCCAGTCCATATGTTGTCTTTTCATTTTGGTTATGGTTTCCTTTACTGTGCAAAAGCTTACAAGTTTGATTAGGTCCCGGTTGTTTATTTTTGCTTTTATTTCTATTGTCTTGGGAGAGTGACCTAAGAAAACATTGATACAGTTTATGTCAGAGAATGTTTTGCCTATGTTCTCTTCTGGGAGTTTTATGGTGTCACGTCTTACATTGAAGTCTTTAAGCTATTTTGAGTTTATTTTTGTGTATGGTGTGAGAATGTGTTCTAACCTCATTGATTTACATGCAGCTATCCAGCTTTCCCAACACCACTACTAGCAAAAATTTTTGTTTCCTGTCCCCACGACCTTACGCTTTGTTGGTCTAGAGGTCTTAGTTCCAAAGGGAGGAATGCTTCCATCAGGAGACACAACAGTGATTCCACTGAACTGGAAGTTAAGCCTGCCACCTGCCCACTTTAAGCTCCCCATGCCTCAGAATCAGTAGGCAAAGAAGGAACTTACTGTGCTGGCTTAGGTAATTGACTCTAATTACCAAGGAGAAATTGGACTACTATTCCACAATGGTGGTAAGAAAGAAAATGTCTGGTTATCGGAGATCCCTAAGAGCATTGCTTAGGACTACCATGCCTTATGATTATATTCAATGGAAAACTACAATAGCCCAACCAAGGCAGGACTACTACTGACTCAAACCCTTCAGAAACAAGTTTGGGTCACTCCACCAGGTAAAGAAAGAACTATGGCTATCTGAGGTGCTTGCTGAGGGCAAAGGGAATACAAAATGGGTAGTGGAAGAAGGCATTTATAAATACCAGCTACCACTACATGACCAGTTACAGAAATGAGAATTATAATTAGTTATGAGTATTTTTTCCTAATTTTGTTATGAATATGTTTCTGTGTGTAGGCATCAAATAACTGTTTTCTTCCCTCTCATCTCCTTGTCATAAAACATAAGATACACTGACTTTACATTATAGTATTTAAGTACTGTTAAATATTTAAGTTATAGGATATCAGGGAGAGTGAACATCACCCAAGGACTTTGCAGCCTGCCCTGCAATTTCAGGCTTGCCAGCCCCCACAATCACGGAAGCCAACTCCTTAAAATAAAACCACTCTTTCTCCCCCTCTCTCTTTCTGTATACATGTATATCCTATTGGTTCTGTTTCTCTGGAGAACCCTTACGAATACAATATGTATGTGTGCATTCATATCTTGTCCATATAAATATAGATATATTTATCTCATCGTTCATTCTCACCGCCTTCTGAGCTCTCCTTTGTATCCTCTGTATCACAAAAGCTAAAAGTATGAGAACTCCACTTTGCAAATATCTTTGCCCCTGGAATTTATGTGATTTACATTCAGCAAATGCAATGCATTTGCACAATATTTGGAAGGCAGAAGAGAGAAAGAAACAAGGCCACTTTTCTTCTGAATGCAGTAGACACCTGGACTTGAACAGACATGAGGTTTTACAGTAATCACCAAATGCTCCCCTGCCAGTTCCCTATGTTGGTACTACCAGGCAGCCATAATCAGCAGCAGCAGTGACTAATCTGAAAGCTTAGAACAGGCTTTCAGGCTCCATACCTCCAGCTTTTCCAAAAAATTTTAAGTATCTAATTCCCCTTACTAATTTCCCTTTTGCTCTAAGTACCTATAGTGATTTGTTGTCCTCAATGAACCTGGCCTGACAAATTTTTTAAAAACTAAATATTTAAAATATATTGTACAGGCGTCCCTGGTGGTGCAGTGGTTGAGAGTCCGCCTGCCGATGCAGGGGACACGGGTTCGTGCCCCGGTCCGGGAGGATCCCACATGCCGCGGAGTGGCTGGGCCCGTGAGCCATGGCCGCTGAGCCTGCGCGTCTGGAGCCTGTGCTCCGCAACGGGAAAGGTCACAACAGTGAGGCCCGCGTACCACAAAAAAAAAAAAAGGAAGTACAGTTGATTTACTATGTTTCAGATGTACAGCAAAGTGATTCAATTACATATCTATATGTATAAAAAAAATAAATAAATAAATAAATATATATATATATATATATATATATATATATTGTACATTAGACAGTAATCAGGGCTGAGAAGAAAAATTAGGAAGTGAGCAATTACATATGTCACAGTAGTAGGGAGAATTTTAGATAGGAATGACTGAGTCAAGATTTCAGTAACATGAGGGGGTGAGTTGCTCAAGTATCTAGAAGACCCTCCC